CTTTTATTATCGCCTAATTACAGATAGACCTTTTGCAGTTCCATTATTGTTATAGGCATCCCGTACTAGCATCCAAATTGTTGAAAGACCCCTGAGTGAAAGTATTTTGATTCTTTTACTCTCAGAATATCCATTTATCAACAAATATTTTTCTCTTTATCTAAGGATAAAAGAAGTTTAAAAAATTTCAGGGCCCGCCATCAGTGGTGTGGTCAATAACTGGAGCTTTGGGTCACTCTTGTTTCTTCTCTTAAAAAAAATTCAAAAAATAATTTTATCAATAATTTCTTTGGTGTTTGAAACTCTTACATAGGCCAAAGGCCTATGATGTATATTTATAGATAGTCAATGTGAATAGGTTGAGTACCCAAGAGTCACCCTCACTTAATGGGGTGTTACATCACCATAATGGGGTGTGAATGGAGGGATAATGAGGGGGAGGCCAAAGGCCTCCCTCATCTCATAATACTCCCCCTTATCCATCCATTACCTTGGGTTTAGCTTATGAACACTTCAGGGTTCGTAAAGCTAATGGGGTGGATACTTCTGGATCCAGAGTAAACTTGTTTGCCTCGTTAAAACCTTAGCTGTGGAAAACCCAGTGGGAAAAAACCATCAGCCTAAGGAAAAAGAGTACAACCCATAGGTTACTCCCCCTGAACCATACAAGCTTCAGGCTTGTAGGTCTTTCAGATGTCTCATCCCTATTCCTTTTACAAGTTTTACAAAAGTACATCTAGGCAGAGCCTTAGTGAACAAGTCAGCTAAATTATTACATGATTGGATCTGCTGTACTTTAACTTGCTCCTCCTCTTGAAGATCGTGCGTCCAGAAAAACTTGGGAGATATGTGCTTCGTCTTGTCACCCTTGATGAAGCCAGACTGAAGTTGAGCAACGCAGGCTGCATTGTCTTCAAATATAGTAGTTGGCTCAAGGTCACCAGTCTTCAGGCCGGTAGACACTAAGATGTGCTGAATGACAGAACGAAGCCAAACACATTCTTTGCTGGTTTCATGGATCGCGAGGAGTTCGGAATGGTTGGATGAGATTGCTACAGTGGTTTGCTTGACAGACCTCCAGGAGATGGCCGTACCACCGAATGTAAACACAAATCCGGTTTGTGATTTCTCGGTGTGGGGATCAGACCTGTAACCTGCATCTGAATAACCAATTAAGGTGGGAGACCCACCCTTCGGGAAATATAATCCCAGGTCTATAGACCCTTGGAGGTAGCGCAGAAGATGCTTAACTCCATTCCAGTGGCGTTTTGTGGGCGCTGCACTGTATCTGGCTAGTAGGTTAACTGAAAACGCTATATCGGGACGCGTACAGTTAGCCAGATATAGTAGTGGGTCGGATTGATCCGACCCGCGCTTGCGCGGGTCGGATTGATCCGTCCCGCGCTTGCGCGGGTCGGATCATTCCGTCCTGCGCTTAGCGCGGGTTCGCCGACTTTCTCCCTTTTTTGGTTTCTTTCTTTCGGGACTTGTTCTTGTCGCGTATTCGATAGATTTGTTGATTTGTATGCTTCGTCGCGAGACCGATCGTCGAACGCGCGTTGGTTAATATACGCGTGCTGATCGATGCGTGTTGACTGATCGGCGTGCGCGTGTTGACAGACGCGCACGAGCTGACCGACGCGCACGAGATGATTTAACGTGCGCTGACTGATTAGCGAATTTTCTTGACTCGCCTATTCATTGCTTCGAGTTTCATGCGGGATCTCATAGGCAATTTTAGACGCACACGGGCAGACTTTATCATTTGTGAATCCTTGCGTAGCAAGGAACTCACTTAGTCTGTTATACCACATTTTCCCCGATTGCTTAAGACCATATAATGATCTTTGAAGCCTAACAGAATAGACGTCCCGAGGTCTATCTGCTATCTCTGGTGGAATTTTATATCCTTCAGGGAGTTTCATATAGATATCTTTATCTATATTGCCATATAGATATGCAGTCACACCGTCCATGAGCTGCATTTCTAGGCCTTCCAGAGATGAGAGGCTTATTAGGAATCGGAATGTATTCCCATCCATAACCGGAGAATATGTTTTTTCATAGTCTATTCCCGGTCTTTGGGAAAAACCTTGTGCTACAAGCCGTGCTTTGTAGCGCACAACCTCGTTGTGTTCATTTCTTTTTCTGATGAAGACCCACTTATATCCCACAGGTTTTACACCTTCAGGTGTTTGGACTAATGGTCCAAAGACTTCGCGTTTCAAGAGTGAGTCCAGCTCTACTCCTATTGCCTCGTTCCACTTTGGCCAATCGTCTCTGCGTTTACATTCCGCTAGAGATCGTGGTTCGATGTCATCGTCGTATTCAGTGACGTGAACGACAATATCGAACGCAAAGTCATCGTCGACGACTGTGTTTTTTCTGTCCAGTACCTCCTCAGTACGTACAAAATTTAATGATGTTTCTCCTATTTGTTCCTCTTCAGGGGAATCTAGGAGGGGAGAGGAAGCTGGTCTGAGCTCAGTATCCTGTGTTGGGTTCATCTTTATTTCTCTAGGATTTTTTCTTTTACGAGGGACTTTGTCCTTCAAACCTGGTGGGCGTCCTCTTTTCAATTGAGGTACAACCGTTTCTGCTGCCGGCGGATTGCATCCATCTTTGGGGATGTCAATCCTAGCTGGCGTGTTGACAGCAAGGACGTGTGATCTGATAATTTTCTGGTTATCAGTGAATTTATCCGGAAGTAAATGTACTGTATTATGAAGATGAAGAATCTTCAGGATCTCATCTTCACATTGACTAGTACGCGGATCATAATGAGACAAAGTCTTGGTGTTCCAAGAAATGGTCTTAGAAGCGTCAGGCTTCCTGGACTGTGTGCCAAGTTTAGGAAATGAATCCTCAACAAATTCACAATCATCAAGACGTGCCTTAAATGCTGATAAGTGATGCTGCATGCAATATTGCATGACCCCAAGCCTCAACAGGCAACTGTGATTGCATCAACAATGGACGAGCAATCCATTGCAATCTCTTAATTAGAGATTCTGCTAACCCGTTCTGGGTGTGAACATGTGCTACAGGATGTTCAACTTCGATGCCAGTTGCTAGGCAATAGTCTTGAAAGACTTGTGAAGTGAATTCTCCCGCATTATCAAGACGTAATTTCTTGATTTGATTATCGGGGAAATGAGCCCGCAACTTAATAATTTGTGCCAATAGCTTTGAAAAAGCTAAGTTGCGGGTGGACAAAAGGCACACGTAAGACCACTTGGTTGATGCATCTATAAGTACCATAAAGTACCTAAATGGTCCACTTGCGGGGTGAATAGGCCCACAAATATCGCCATGTATTCTCTCCAAGAAGCTAGGAGACTCTAATCCCACTTTCAGAAGGGAAGGTCTCGTGATCAGTTTACCTTGGAAACAAGATAGACATGAGTAATCACCCTTCTGAAGAATCTTCAGGTTCTTCAGGTTGTGTCCACTTGATTGGCTCATGATGCGGTGCATCATTGCTGATCCTGGGTGACCCAGTCTGTTATGCCAAAGTTTAAATTTCGTCGAAGAATGGCACTTCTGGTGCACAATCATGTTAGCTTCTACTGGTTGAATATATGTATTATAGAGACCCGACGGGAGTCCCTTGAATCGTTCTAAGATAGTTTTTGAACCATCTTTTTGACGAGTTACATACAAATACTCATCCTCATTTATATCATTGGTTTCTAAGTGATATCCGTTTAAACGAATATCCTTGAAACTTATGAGGTTTCTATTAGATTTCGGAGAGAATAATGCATCTTTTATTATTAGTCTCGTTTTATTTGGGAGCAATATCATTGCTTCACCAAATCCTTCTATTATGTTAGATAGTCCCGAAATCGTAATTACTAATCGTTTATATTATTAGTCTCGTGCTGATAACGTGTTTGAAACCCATCCATAGGCCAAAGGCCTATGATATATATTTATACTAGTCAATGTGAATAGGTTGAGTACCCAAGAGTCACCCCCACTTAGTGGGGTGTTACACCACCATAATGGGGTGTGAATGGAGGGATAATGAGGGAGAGGCCAAAGGCCTCCCTCATCTCATAATATCCATACCTTTTATACATCTAAATTATGTCCTTCATTTTAATAATAGGAAATGAAATTGAGCTTAAGATTCATGTAATAGTTTATTTAGTGGATCTAAATAAAATCGAGTTTATTTTATTTAACTTTGGATCAAAGCAACAAAAGCTATGATACATAAGAAGATTAATCCAATTTTTAAAAAAAATTGATTATACTATAATTATGAGAAGCAGTATTTTAGTTATTAAAGGATAGATTACTAGTGGATCTAGATACGGATGCTATTTAGAAATCAATCAATAGTTTATAAGATGTTGACAAATGATTAAACAACCCTCATCTTTTATTAAAATGACCTTCAATTCTTTATGAAATTGAGTAAAAGCTCATTCCTTCACTTTTGTATACCCTCACAATTTCTTTTATATAGTAGGATAGGTTACTACTGGATCTAGATACCGATGCTATTCTGAAATCAACAAATAATTTATAAATATAAAAAATAGTTTAATAAAAACATATAATGCTGATGAAATATTTCCGCTTCATTCTTTTATGGAGGAGTAAAATTGAGAATTGATTATAATTCAAATTTAAAGTTACACATAAATTTTGAAGACAGTTTCTAGAAAACTTATGATTCAAAAAGGGTATTATATTAAAGAAAAAGCCCAATATATCAGAAAAACCCCTTAACTTTAACTGATTATCGATTAACACCCATAACTTTGAAAATACCAAAAAACTTTAGGGCTTTTAAATAACCCCATTTAATTTTGAGATTCTATTAGAAACCCCTCTAAAAGCAAAAACGATTTAGGTGAGTTTTCTAATGAAATTGTAAAGTTAAAGGGGGTTTTCTGATAAAATCTCGAAGTTAAAAAGTTAAATAGGGTTTTCTCATAATCCCTATTCATATTTTTGGGGGTGGTTTATGGTATTTTCAGACGGGGGTTACGTGGTAATCATCAAAAGGTAAGAGTTGGGGATTTAAAAGAAAAAGTCTTCTAGCAACGGGGTCTTAAAGATCTATGTAACTCTGGACCGAGCTTTATCAAAAGAACGAGCGACGAACGTCGAGAGATCCTCGCTCCCTTTTTCCGATCAGATCTCCGGGTTCATTTCCCGTTTAAGGTATCAATATCTCGATTTCCCTCTCTTCTCTGCTTTTTATAATTGTTGGATTTTGATTGAATAACGTGAAGAAAAAAACTATGCCAAAAATTTGGAAGTTTTACTGAAAAACTAGGTTCTTCCCTTCACCGATGTTACAACTGGGCGCATTGAGTTCATGGAAATTTTGCTGAATTAACCTTATACGAGCAGGTTTTAGACCTTGGGTTTGTTGATTATGATAGCCGATTTAGGGCATTCTTCGCTCTGCTCGGATCTCCGGTCCCAATTCCCTTTGAGTTATCAATCTGATAGCCGATTTAGGGCATTCTTCGCTCTGCTCGGATCTCCGGTCCCAATTCCCTTTGAGTTATCAATCTATTATATTAACGTAATTTTTCTTTTATGATTAGATCATAATAGAATATATTCAATATATAATATCTATAATAATATACAGAAAATAAATTTGGCATATAATTTAATTACCATATAAATTTAAACTTCAGCAAAACGTGGGAAGAAAATTTAAAGACATGCAAAATATCTTGAATATAATAATAAAAATATCCAAAATATCTTGAATATAATAGTCATTATTTATTTTTAATTTAAATACTTATATAATTATTATATGATATAAGTTCAAAAAAATAATGACAAAATCTAAGATAATATAAATTTTAGTTTTATCATCATTCATTAGTTAAGATTATCTAATATTTTATTTATTATATATGGTATAAAATCATATTTTGGTCGAAGAATAATATATATTATAAGAGGTATAAAATCAAACTAACGAGTGAATAAAATCTGGAAAAAATTCTCTAATATCCATTAATTTAAATTTTGTAATAATATATATAATATATAAATATGTTAACACACAATACAATTATCTAGGTCATATATTATTCAAGGAGATAAATAAATTCTTCAACAGAGGGTCTTTAGTTACTGTTTCTACTCTGTTTCAAAGGTCTTTTTATTAATTTATTTTTTTGCTAAATAATTATCACTATAGGTGAAATTTATTCTTATTTTATAGGTTATTGCATATAGTTAATAAAATTAATTAACTCAGTAAATTGTGTGTTATTTTTATTTTTTAAACATAAATTTTCTATCAATTTTCCTTTTACAATGGATGCCATTTGTTTTTAAATCAAAACTTTTTAAAATCATTGAATTATAACCTATAACAATGTCTACATGGTTTTTAGAAATTCAGATTAAAATGCTCAATTAACTATTTAATACATCTAACCTTAGATGTTTAATTTTATTAAAATAAATGAATAATTATGATTTTTTATGGATTTCATAATACTTATTTACTGATATTTATATTTATATTAACTTACTTATTTAATATATAATTATGAAACTAAAATTATTTTATTATTTATTTACTAATTTATTTAAATTTTCTATCATATTAATTTTTTTTAAGAATTTTGTAGGATTTATATATATGATTAGTTTTTATTCGACAACGTTATCTATATACTTAAAAATTAAAATTCTTAATGTTTTTATTATTTATGTTTGAAGCATAATATTTTTTATAATGAAAAAATATGAAAAAAATTATCTATTATTCAGTAAACAATATAATTAATATTTTTTGCATAATTAACTAATTAACACATTAATATTTAAAATTAATGATGTATTTAATGTTTATTGCCTTCATAATAGTTTTACTATCTAATATATTATTATGAAAATAAAATTATATTATTTATTATTTATTTACTGATTTATTTAATTTTTCATGAAAATGTGATTTACACTATTTAAAATTAAATATTTTTTAAGAATTTATTATATTTATATTTATTTATTTATTTAAATTATTATTATGAAACTGAACTAATTTAGTTACATATTTATGAAATTATTATTTATTAACTTTTTTAATATGTTATTATATAACTGAAGGTAAGAAGTTTAAATTTAAGCCTTTATTTTCAGTTTTGTTATAATAATATTTATTTAATGATTTTAACTAATTAAATAAAATATATTTTGCCTAGATTTTTTAAAGAATAATTACATATAATTATATGGATAATTAAGGTAAAATTAAGTCAGGATTTAATTTATACTTTCTAACTATTAAAATTAGTATTTGACCATATTTCAATAAATTATTATTATATTAAAAATTTATATTAAATGAATCTTATATTGGTTGAAAACTATATTAACTGAAAATATGAACATTGTATATAAACAATTTTGAATGTAATTAGGATTTCCTTAGATAACATTTTTTCAACATGTGATAAATTGATTACACATTTTCAATTATCATAATTTTAAATAATATCTTCGTATAAATTAAGCTAATTTTAGGCAATATTATAAATTATTTATTATTTTTTTATTATCATTTATCAATTGTTAATCTTGGGAAAAATCTAAATCAATTATTGATATAGAATTTTTATAATTTGAGTGATTGACATACTATCTTTGCTAATTATTGATAATTAATAAGATTATATAAAATTATATTATGATATTTTATTAAGTATGGTCACTAGTTTTATTAATGTTTATTATACAGATGATTTAAAATTATATGCATATTAAATTAATTTATAGATATTTTATAAGGATGTTAGGATGAAATAATAAAATTGCAGCACACACGTTATTAAATAAGCTTCGAGTAGATGAAAATGATGTCATTTTGAAAGGAAGAATCACTCGAACATGAGAAAGATAACACACAAACACTAAAATCTCATCTGGAATTAACTTTATTCTCCTTAATAATGAAGCCTATTTATAATTTATATATACTGATAGTTGTAATTTCAAATAATATAAATTTACTTTAATTATGATGTGCTTTATTTAACATTCAATAAAACTCTCATGTACATGGTTTTGTCATAAGAATGATGTATTACGACAAAGAAATTAATACAAGAAGAAAAAGTTTATATTTTCTCAAACGTAAAGATTGTTACTGTAAATAAGATATACAAACCAGTAAGCACTCTAGTATCTATTCATCAAGGTTGTTGATCGCGGATCGCGGCGTGTCGCGGCGAGGTACCGCTAAGGCTATTGCGCGCTATTGCGGCGAAATAGCGGCAAATAGCGCACAGTCAAATAGCGGTCAATATAAATATATGTAAATATTCTAAATAACAAGAAAAATTATATAAAAAATACCATGAAAAATAAATACCATGAAAATGAAAAATTATGTAAATGACCGAGACAAGCTAATTTACTCCATCATATTTGAGAGTTGGCTCTTCATCTTTGTCTTATGCATATGGATCTTCATCAATAGCTCCCCAGCAAGACAGGAGCACAAAATCACCAAGACAAGCTAATTTAATTAAATATAGTACGAACTCCACAATCACCAGAACAATCTAAACCCCTAAGTTTAATATCAAATAACAAAAGTATAATTCCAACAAGACAATTGTATTGTTTAATTAACCAACAATAATTGCAACCTAAAACAAGATTGTTAAGGAAAAAATAAGCATAAACCTAATTTTATCTCAAAAGGGACTTTTTTTGACCGGAAGCACAAATCAACAAGAAAACACAACATTAAAACTTATTAATCTGATTAACCTAACCTTAGCCATGAAAAAACTAGCTAACTGTCTCAAACGCTGATTTAAAAAAAAAATCAAATAACCGATGATAGTTTCAAAACCCTAACCCTAATTAGAGAAAGGATCAGATAAGTCATAACCTGAGTGGAGTGGTCCTAGAGAGATAGCCGCAAGAGGAGGCAGAGATGAAGGCGGAGGCGGCTTCGAAGACCGGAGGTGGAGACTGGAGGATGCGATGAGAGGAGGCGGTTAGGGCTTGGATCGGGACTTGGGATACAGAGGCGAGAGCGAGAGAGGGGGGGTTAATATACATTCGGGTCGGTTTCGGGTTCGGGTAGGATTTTTAACCGAACTAAATAGCGCTGTTTAGCGCTTTTAAGCGCTAAACAGCGCTTTTAAGCGCTAAACAGCGCTATTTACGCGCATTCAGACGCTTTTCGAGGGAAAAGCGGTTTTCCCCGCGTAGATGTGCCGCGAGAACCTTAAGCGGAGCGGTTCTCCTCCGCTTCCGCGAATAGCGGCGCTATAGCGTCGCTATTCCCCGCTTTTTACAACAGTGCTATTCATTTTAGTTATTATACAAACATCAGCATTTTAGAGGAGGATGATGATGATATAGAAAAATATAAATTCAAATTTCTTCCTGACAGAGAGATTGAATCCAGAATAGATTCAAAAGAATTTCTTATAGATATGAATTAAATTTTTATTCCTCATAGATTATCATATATGTCAAATTATACTAAATTTTATTTATTTTCTTATATAGATGTGATTGGAATAGTTTATGAAATTTTTGTGATTGATAGCATGGACAAGAATGGAAAAACAGAGTTTTGTTTAGAAACTTTACAATGTATGATAATGAGTAAGTTACAATTTTATAATTGTTTATATGAAAAAAATAAAGATAAATTTTATAACATAAATATTAAATATATATATTTTATTCTTTTATCGGGTTCAACACAATAGCCATCACTTTGTGGGAAGATATATATATGTGTGTGTGTGTGTGTGTGTGTGTGTGTGTGTTTTCGTCAAAAGTTAAAATTTTCATTGTCATCAAACTTATTACACCATTTATCGATTACAAGTTCGAGTTGATCTTTTTATAAGATCTTCTTACAATGAGAAAAGTAAAGATTATAACTTTATGAAATAAAACGCAGTAATAGTTTATCTCCTGTTGCTTTGTGTGGGATCTTTACCTGTGCCGGGGACACGTTAGTCCGTGGACCGTCGCGGATCATATCCGGTTGACAAGTGTGATTATGCTCTTGTTTCACGAAGGAAACAATTGCAGCAGCGATAATCACGACCAAGCGAGATTGTGACTCTTCTCGAGATCAAAACAAGGTTTGATCCGGAGGAAAGAGGGGGAGAGAATCTCAAATCTTTCGAAGGCTTTCTCTTTATGAAAAAGTTCATGGAAATTTTGCTGAATTAACCTTATACGAGCAGGTTTTAGACCTTGGGTTTGTTGATTATGATAGCCGATTTAGGGCATTCTTCGCTCTGCTCGGATCTCCGGTCCCAATTCCCTTTGAGTTATCAATCTCTCTTTTGATGATCTCAGCTAGTATATTAGTTGATTCTGCTCGAATAACAAGAAAAATCATGTAATGTATGACACCAAATTTGGCCTGAAGTTAGAAATTTGGCTGAAAATGAGGTCATCTTTCCCCCCCAGTGTTATCTATATCAGAGAAATTTATTGTTCACAATGAAGTAGTGGAATTTGTGCTGGACTACGGCTAGCAATGTTTTTAAGAAGCTTATTTCGTAGAAACTACCCTAAAAATAGGGTCATTATACAGAAACCACTTTTTATTTTCAATTTATACGTAACCACCTTTAAAGTAGGTTTTTTTCCAATCAACCACTTTCTAGTCAAAAAATTCGCTGAAAACCAAAAAATACCCTTAAAAAAGTCACATCCAAGACACGTGACTCACTTTGTTAATGTTTAGCTCTAGTTAGGATACAAGCCACGTGCCTTAAACATGTATTTCTTAACCTTTTTTTTTATTTTTTTAGTGACAATTTGACTTAGAGGTGGTTGATTGGAACAAAAACCAAATTTAAAGGTGATACGTATAAATTGAAAATGAAGGATGGTTTTTGTGTGATGCTTCTATTTTTAGGTGATTTTCAGGGGAAAAAACCTTTATAAAGATTTCCTTGTGGATTATGATCTTTGCCAAAATAATCAGTGGATTATGATTGCATAACCAAATAAATGAATAAATAAATAAAATGAACTATGTAATAACATCAAATTTGCACAAAAAATTAAGACTTTTGCTGAAAATTGGGTTCTTTTCATCCAAATTTATAATTTTGCAATTTTTTCTCATTGAAATTGTGAAATATCTGAATTAACCTCAATCTAACTTTTTTTTAATAAAGTGTATTAGTGGATTGTAATGGCAAATATGAATTGTACAAAAAAACTAGGGGCTTTAGCTGAAAGATGGGGCTGACTTAGATACTTCAACTCAAGACTAGATAAATATGTGGAGCGAAATGTGAACTTTTGAATTTAAACCTTATATTTCAAAAAGAAAAGGGAAAATAATCGATACATAATGTTTATTTGTTTGATTCTGAAGCTCTAGAGGGACCTGTGGTGCTAAGACAGAACTGACTTCAGCATTAAAAGAGCATCATAATAAAGCTAAACTTGACCTAAAACTCTAAAATCTAACTCAAAGCTAGGTATATCTAGGTGCAAAATTAGTTTATCTTTTAAATAGAACTTTCTCTCTCAGGCATGGTTAATCCTATTACTGAAATCTTTTCAGTCTAGTTTAGTTCACTAGCATGGAAATTGCCCTACTCATTTGAAAGGAATAGTAAGAACATGTATCCTCTATTGGCAGTGTCTTACAAAACTATACAATATATGAGTTGAAGTACTTAACTTTTTCCAAGTTAGATAGAAAATGTTTCCATTTAGGGGCTGTTTGGTTCATTTCCTAAAATTACAGGAAATGGAATTTCCATCAAGACCATTGCTTTTGATTGGTATCTCGGAATTATTTTTTTATTTGGTTTCAACATGATAATAGGAAAGCAAATCTTAAAATTTGTAATCTCATATATGGTGCAAACCCCAAAAACTCGAAAAGAAAAACTAGAAAAAGGGAGAGAGAGAGAGAGAGAGAGAGAGAGAGAGAGAGAGAGAGAGGAGGGAATGTTGAGGTGGCATTGATGTGTAAGCTTGCCACCCAATTCCTCTGCAAAACTTTGGATTTGGCAAATCCTAAAATTGGGTTACTTTTTGCATGAGAGAGAGAGAGAGAGAGAGAGAGAGAGAGAGAGAGAGAGAGGAGGGAATGTTGAGGTGGCATTGATGTGTAAGCTTGCCACCCAATTCCTCTGCAAAACTTTGGATTTGGCAAATCCTAAAATTGGGTTACTTTTTGCATTTTATAGAAATCCTTTCAATTTTTTTTTAAAACAAACAAGATATAGATATGAAATCCTATAATGCAAAAAAGACACACTTTTTGTTCCTTTTCTTGCTTTTCCACCCAAAATCCTATAATTTTAAGTGAACCAAGCATCCCCTTAGTCTGCCACATGTTATACGATTTAATAGTCTATTTATGGTGGCTTCTGAGCTTTTGAATGAATCAATACTGATATTGGTGATTTCACAGTTTAACACCAATTTCTTCGAATTTCGAACCTTCTTTCTATTGGCACTAAAGTTTTTCTCCATTCTCAAGCCATGCGGCATAAGGGCCTGTTTGGTTATTTCCTAAAAAACCAAAAAATAGAAATGCAAACCAAGAAAACTAAAGAAGTACAATTTCACACATTTCCATCCCTAAAATTCACCCACAACATCTAATAAAATATTATTTTTATCCAACAACTCATCCATCACATCTAATAAAATATTATTTTCATCCAACAACTCATCCATCACATCCACCACATCTAATAAAATATTATTTTCATCCACAACATCACTCAACTCATCTCATTTCATATTTAAAAATTACTCACATCATCTAATAAGATTGTGACAACTCATCTCATCTCATTAACATTTCATTTCTTTGTTTTCCTCCCAAAAAGCTAGGAAAACAATTTTCTTAAGTGTGAGTCACATCATCCAATAATATAATAACTCATCTCATCTCATATATTTTCTTATTTTTAAGAAATAACCAAGCAAAAGAAAACAACCTATTACAAGAAATATGTTTCTTATAATTTATTTCATTATTTTTTTCGCCAACCAAACAACATCAAAACAAGTTTTCTTAAAAAATCACTCACATCATCCTATAATAAGGTGACAACTCATCTTCATTTCTTTGATTTCCTTCTTTTTTTAGCAAACCAAACATTCCCAAAACAATTCTTTGATTTAATAATTTTCCATTTCTTTGATTTTCAATTTTTTTAGGCAAACAAACAGGCCCTAAGTTGAAAGAAAGTTTTATTACAAAGGCAATATGCTGGATATACTGATCAGAAGCAGGAGATTTGATTGCATTTATCTTATTAGTGGTAGAAAGATCGATTGAGTATTCCAGGTATATTAATTCTTATTGCACATTATTAAGTATTTTTCTTTCATTTCTACTCAAGGTAAAAATCCCATTTTAATGTTTTTTTATAAGTTCTTGAAAATCTTGATATACCATTAGAGCCCACGATGGATGCACCTTGGTCCTTATGGGGCCACATAGCCTCACACATTGTGAAACTAGTGATATATGGTCACAATTAGAATAGTTGCCCCTAAATAATATTTATTTGGTGCCCCCTGTAGAGAATTATTATGAATAACTATTGTTGGAATTTAGTAGCATTTTCTTAATTTTTATTATGAGAATGAAAATGATCATTTAGTGATATAAAAATGATAATGAATATGTTGAGATCTTTATGATTATTGTACAAATAACTTTTTTTACCGGTAAAATTTGTATTATGTAGGTAACTGATTCATATGTATACTTGTGTATGCGCCCCATTAGGAAGAAATCTCTGGGCCCATCCCTGATTAGTGCTGATGGACGTGTTTATCTTGATGCCAGAGGTCAAGTTTCACATGTATATTGTCTATGACGATGATGTGAAGCACGGCTATATGAGGTGACCTTTTACTATATTTATTTTCCGGCAATGTTGAATATATTAATTAATGATCTTTATATTCTGTTTGATGTCTGAAACAGGTTGCCAACAAGCAAAATAATTATCAATAATTAATTATATTATAACGTATCATTTGTCCAATAAAGGAGTTTGTGGATTAATAACTTGTCGTTTCCTTTGAGCTTTTTTTAGCTGCGTGCTCAACCATTACAGTTCTTTCATTGTCATTAATGCAAGAAATAAGAATCATGTATATTATACTTAAGAATTACAGTAGTATGATAACTTGAAAGTTTATCCCTCTATTAGTTCCTTCATGGAGAGGTAACAATACGCACACATCTTTCTTTTTCTGTACTGGATACTTACATGTAAGGTGCATTGAGTATAAATAAGATTACATTACATTTTCAGATGAGCTCTCCTCCTAATTCGAACAAGTACTGTTTTCTTCAGAGGAGGTTCTTCTACATGAGCTCATTTAACCTTTTTGCTTTTGTCTTTCGAGGCTCTTGGGATCTTGTCAAGAACTTTAGTATCAAATTTGTTATAAATTTTCTTCAGATCTTGGCTTCCCTTGCTGGCAATATGATCAACTTCACCCTCATATTGTTCATATAGTGCTGGCAGTGTGTGAAGGCATAAGAAACCTGTACAAATTAAAACACTTGATAGAATGATATATGATAAATGTTAATTGCAGATACACCTCTAAACTTATAGTCTGGTCACTTATTACTTCTAAACTGTTTTATTAGCACTTATACCCTTGATGCTTAAACACAGTTATCACCATCTATATGTACCTTAATATAGGAGGTCTGCAGTTCACACCTATAAGTAAATAGAAAAGCGGCTCCTTGTAACACAATGAACTAGGAATACATTGATGTCACTTGTGATCCACATGATATTTATATATGATAGAGAGATAAGTCCTTTTGGACATTAAGGAGTCTTATGTGGCAATAAAAATTTTTAGAGGCAATACGTGCCTAACTCCCTATAACACAGCGTTAACCTTATGTGATAATATCGTGCATACAATGTTCAATAAATGTCCTAGTGCTTACCGAAGTATAGAAGGTTTAGTGCACTGCAACAACTTCCTATCACCGATATTATCCACAGAGAAAGAATTGCCTACAGAATACAGGTTCCTTGTATTTCTTAAAAAAATTATAGGAAAAGTTTTGAGAAGTTAAAAAGTACAAATTTTCTTATTTTTTATATTTTGCTTGTTTGGTTCAAAATAAGAAAATGACTCATAATTTTAGGGGCTGTTTGGTTATTTCCTAAAAAACAAAAAATAGAAATGCAAACCAAGAAAACTCAAAAAGTATAATTTCACACATTTCCATCCTTAAAACTCACCCACAACGTCTAATAAAATATTATTTTTATCCAACAACTCATCCACCACATCTAATAAAATATTATTTTCATCCACAACATCACTCAACTCATCTCATCTCATATTTAAAAATTACTCACATCATCTAATAAGATTGTGACAACTCATCTCATCTCATTAACATTTCATTTCTTTGTTTTCCTCCCAAAAAGCTAGGAAAACAATTTTCTTAAGTGTGAGTCACATCATCCAATAATATAATAACTCATCTCATCTCATATATTTTCTTATTTTTAAGAAATAACCAAGCAAAAGAAAACAACCTATTACAAGAAATATGTTTCTTATAATTTATTTCATTATTTTTTTCGCCAACCAAACAACATCAAAACAAGTTTTCTTAAAAAATCACTCACATCATCCTATAATAAGGTGACAACTCATCTTCATTTCTTTGATTTCCTTCTTTTTTTAGCAAACCAAACATTCCCAAAACAATTCTTTGATTTAATAATTTTCCATTTCTTTGATTTTCAATTTTTTTAGGCAAACAAACAGGCCCTAAGTTGAAAGAAAGTTTTATTACAAAGGCAATATGCTGGATATACTGATCAGAAGCAGGAGATTTGATTGCATTTATCTTATTAGTGGTAGAAAGATCGATTGAGTATTCCAGGTATATTAATTCTTATTGCACATTATTAAGTATTTTTCTTTCATTTCTACTCAAGGTAAAAATCCCATTTTAATGTTTTTTTATAAGTTCTTGAAAATCTTGATATACCATTAGAGCCCACGATGGATGCACCTTGGTCCTTATGGGGCCACATAGCCTCACACATTGTGAAACTAGTGATATATGGTCACAATTAGAATAGTTGCCCCTAAATAATATTTATTTGGTGCCCCCTGTAGAGAATTATTATGAATAACTATTGTTGGAATTTAGTAGCATTTTCTTAATTTTTATTATGAGAATGAAAATGATCATTTAGTGATATAAAAATGATAATGAATATGTTGAGATCTTTATGATTATTGTACAAATAACTTTTTTTACCGGTAAAATTTGTATTATGTAGGTAACTGATTCATATGTATACTTGTGTATGCGCCCCATTAGGAAGAAATCTCTGGGCCCATCCCTGATTAGTGCTGATGGACGTGTTTATCTTGATGCCAGAGGTCAAGTTTCACATGTATATTGTCTATGACGATGATGTGAAGCACGGCTATATGAGGTGACCTTTTACTATATTTATTTTCCGGCAATGTTGAATATATTAATTAATGATCTTTATATTCTGTTTGATGTCTGAAACAGGTTGCCAACAAGCAAAATAATTATCAATAATTAATTATATTATAACGTATCATTTGTCCAATAAAGGAGTTTGTGGATTAATAACTTGTCGTTTCCTTTGAGCTTTTTTTAGCTGCGTGCTCAACCATTACAGTTCTTTCATTGTCATTAATGCAAGAAATAAGAATCATGTATATTATACTTAAGAATTACAGTAGTATGATAACTTGAAAGTTTATCCCTCTATTAGTTCCTTCATGGAGAGGTAACAATACGCACACATCTTTCTTTTTCTGTACTGGATACTTACATGTAAGGTGCATTGAGTATAAATAAGATTACATTACATTTTCAGATGAGCTCTCCTCCTAATTCGAACAAGTACTGTTTTCTTCAGAGGAGGTTCTTCTACATGAGCTCATTTAACCTTTTTGCTTTTGTCTTTCGAGGCTCTTGGGATCTTGTCAAGAACTTTAGTATCAAATTTGTTATAAATTTTCTTCAGATCTTGGCTTCCCTTGCTGGCAATATGATCAACTTCACCCTCATATTGTTCATATAGTGCTGGCAGTGTGTGAAGGCATAAGAAACCTGTACAAATTAAAACACTTGATAGAATGATATATGATAAATGTTAATTGCAGATACACCTCTAAACTTATAGTCTGGTCACTTATTACTTCTAAACTGTTTTATTAGCACTTATACCCTTGATGCTTAAACACAGTTATCACCATCTATATGTACCTTAATATAGGAGGTCTGCAGTTCACACCTATAAGTAAATAGAAAAGCGGCTCCTTGTAACACAATGAACTAGGAATACATTGATGTCACTTGTGATCCACATGATATTTATATATGATAGAGAGATAAGTCCTTTTGGACATTAAGGAGTCTTATGTGGCAATAAAAATTTTTAGAGGCAATACGTGCCTAACTCCCTATAACACAGCGTTAACCTTATGTGATAATATCGTGCATACAATGTTCAATAAATGTCCTAGTGCTTACCGAAGTATAGAAGGTTTAGTGCACTGCAACAACTTCCTATCACCGATATTATCCACAGAGAAAGAATTGCCTACAGAATACAGGATGTTTCATTAGGATATTGTCTGAACTAATAGACTAAAATGTAAAAAAAAAGGTAAAGATTGCAATTGTTGTACCAAGAGAAACATCTTGAGATCCTTTCCACATGCAATATCATGTAGGATGGACATGAACTGATTGAATCTGGCATGGAATGATAATGCCATGTCTCTGAAAGTACTCTCAGATAAGATGATATCTGGAATCCTTGGAGGCTCCCTATAATGAAAAGTAGATTAGCCGGTCTTAAAGTGAAGTAAATAATCATTCAAATATAGAATTTGATTGTGATTAAACGTGGGATGTCCAAGCTAACTTCTATCATGTGCAAAAATATGATATTTTTGGACGATATATGAAAGATACGTCTTTCGATAACTAACTGATAGCTTGAATCTACTGCAGTTTTTGAATTTTCTAGTTGTTACAAGTTTATCTATTGAATTGTTGAACTTTGCATCCATAATCCGCGTCGAAATGTGTAGAAGTTTGGTGAGACATGTAATATTAACTAAGTTTGAGATATGAATAAAGCTGGTCACGATAAGTTCACTATTTGGTATCTTTAAACAATTGCACAAGGTAAGGGTTTAAACTTTACAATAACAAATAAAAACACAAAATTATTGAGGCGAGAAATAAATATTTTACCTGTCAAATAGAGGAGCGGCGTTAGACCAGATGAAGATGATTAGCATTGTTATGATGAAGAGGTGGCACAAAAGAGTAAGAAAATGGTACTCCACCACCTCAAAAAGAACCCATATCAGTGTTACCCCAGCTAGAATTCCAGCTGATAATTGCTTGTTTCTCCATAACAATATGCGAGCCACTGCATAATTGGAGACCTCTAATTTTAATTTTGTACTGGGAAAAGGATAAACTTTAGAAAGTACGGTAAACTTCATGATGTACAGAGAAATATTATTAAGAATTTCTATAAAATTTAAGAAGCTGTTATGAACTTCCATTAGTAACTTCTGCTTCACGATAAAAATATAAGAACATCCATTCGATATTTCCTTCTGCATGGTAAAAATTTACGTAAATTGCTCTCGTGAAAACTTATTGCACTTTTCTTATAGTTCTCCAGATTTTCAAGAAATTGCAATGAAAGCTACTCCGAACATTAAGTTTGATGTGAGCAAATAAACTTTATGGCATTTTTCTTACAAATGGCTAAAGTTCATGACAGGTTTCTAATTGAAGTTTATCATATAATGAATGATACACACCACAAACTCATATTTGAGCTAAAAACTTAGTTAAAAAGATCGCAGAACCTCTTCCTCCACCCAAGAGGCTCTCAAGAGACCTCTGACGGCCATGGAATCTCGAGGAGGATGACGGTGGTTCATTTGTGTCATATATTAACTTAGGCATTTTTGTATTATTTGTAATAGTTAGAAAGCTACATTGAGGTCCTTATAAGGGACAAACAGTTCTAAGCTTTGAGCTCAAGAAAGCTAAAAGAACAGGGAAGAAAAGAATAACTTGAGATATGATTTGATCAGGCCTAAGAGATTCTTGTTTGCTTCCTTTAGAGGAGAATGTTCTATGAAGCCAAAGAATGTTTTGGATGCACATTTGTTTTTCATCTTTGAATTGAGTCAACAACTGGATTTGGATCCTCTCCACTACAAAAAAGTAGTGGAGAGACCATTATTTTTAATCTCAAGCATTGATTATTTAGTAGGCGGTTATGATACAATCTAAATCTAACACTTACCATACCCCCGTGTATTGCACTCATTCCTAATTTGCACTAAAAGAAAAAATCATAACCATCAACTAGATAATCAATGGCTGTGATTATGTAGTGGTCTCTCCACTATTTTTTTTTATAGTGGAGAGGATCCGAATCCTCAACAACTATAGAAAAGTGAATGTACTTCAAATAGGTCTTGTATAATATTAATCCAAGCAATGTTAAATACTTGAAGAGTGAACTCCACAACAAAATTATAAGCAACAAACATCTATTTGAGGTAAGTATTAATTGTTGAATTTGACCCTACGGGAAAACGAGGGGAAAAGAAATTGACATGCTCCTAATCATCTTTTTTGAATTCGACTCACGAGATATATTTTTTTCAATATAACTTTTTTTGAAGTAATATTGGGCGAGGTGCACTATCAAAAGAAATGTTATATACCTCCCTAAATAGTGTGTATTAGTTATGAGAAAATGATAACCTGGAAGTCTAGTATGGTTCCGAAAGAGGAGTAAACTAATGTTGTCACTCTTTCTTACTACAACCTTACAAAACCTCTAAAGTTAACATAGTGAATTGTTGGATAGCAGGTTCCTAATATGTTTCTTAATTTATTTTGGTAACATGTTATTGGGATTTCTAATATGTTTTGGTAACATGATTCCTAATTTGTTTTGGTAACATGTTATTAGGATTCCTAATCTGTTTTGTTTCTTGTATTAGAATTCCTAATATGTTTATGATTTTAGGATTTTTATATATATAGAACAATTGGAAGAGAGAATTGAGAAGAAAATTGGGGATATTTGGAGCACAGAAAAGAGGTATTTTCTAGGCTATTGGTTAGGGTTTTGTTTGGAGAGAATTAGAGATTTGTTGGTGAGATTAATTGGTGAGTTTGAGTGATTTGTAATCTCAGTTTGTACTCTTCTTTTCTATTAGTGAAAAACCTTATCCCCTTCTTTCCCCGTGGACGTAGGCAACTTGCCGAACCACGTTAAAATTGGTTGTTTGTGTTTGTGGCATTGATTTGGTTCGTTTGGCCTTCTCTCGATGTTCGTTTGATTTGATTTCTCGTAGCACGTTGGTTTGGTTGTTTGGCTTCCGCAGCACTCAACAAGTAGTATCAGAGCTTGGGCTATGCTTGGGCTATTTGGAGGAGTAGATCATTTTGGAGACTCGCTTAGGGTTTCGTTTGGTGATAAAGGTAAGATCTTTTTGGTAAAGACTCTATCTTTTTCAGTTTTGGATCTATTCTTTATTTGTTCCGCAATTATTTTGGTGCTTTGAGAAAGATGGTCGGGAAAGGAGTTGTGGAGGGTACTTCTGGTGTGAAGACCGTTCAAAGTTTGAATATTCACTCTATAAAGATAGATGTGGAGAAGTTTAATGGCACAAACAATTTTAGTCTTTAGAGATGTGAAGTCTTGGATACGCTCAATGCGTAAAATTTGGAAGATACTTTGGAGTTGGACGGGAAACCGGATGACATTAAGGAGAAGGTTTGGAAAAAGATGAATAGAACGGCGTGTGGTGTGATTAGATCTTGTTTGACTCAAGATTTAAAATATGATGTGATCAATGAGACTTCGGCTAAGAAGATTTAGGAGATCCTAGAGGGAAAGTATTTGACCAAGAGTGTAGAGAACCGCTTGCATTTGAAGAGGAGGCTTTATCGCTTCCAATTGAAGAAGGAGACCTCCATTGGTGATCATATGAATCACTACATGAAGCTTCTTGCGGATTTGGCGAATGTAGATGTGATGATTGAAGATAAGGACAAGACGTTGTTGTTGTTGAGTTCCTTGCCTGACAAGGAATATGAGACATTCGTTCTTACTCTTATTAATGGGAAGACATCTCTTTTTTATAGTGAGGTCACCTCTACACTTGTGAATTATCAGCTTCGAAAGAAGGATAAGGAGACTTCAGTTAAGCCGGTAGCGGAGGCATTGGTCGCAAGAGCAAAGAGTCCCAAACCGTGGTAGGAGGTCGCAGTCTAGAGGGGTACATCTTGGAGTTTGTAGGAATCAGTGTGCCTTTTGTAAAGAGGATGAACATTGGAAAGTCGAATGCCCAAAGTTGATTGATCGAGCCAGGAAGAATAAGGGGAAAGCTACTCAAGCTTCAGAGGTGAATATTGTCAAGGCTAGTGGTTATAATTCAGTTTTGGATTCTTCGGGCTACTCGTTATCTGTACTACCGTCAGTTTGTGTTGCCGACTCTTCAGAGTGGATATTGGATTCAGGTGCTTCTTACCATATTTTCCCTAGGAGGGATTGATTCTCTAGCTTTCAGGAGTTGGAAAGAGGGGAGGTCGTGCTCATGGGTAATGATCATGAATGTCCTATTGATGATATTAGTACTGTTCGAATTAGGATGAGTGACTGAGTGATTCGGGAGTTGGTTGGAGTGAGGTTCGTTCCTCAGTTGAAGAAGAACATCATTTCATTTGAAGTTTTGGAGGCAACAGGCTATAGGGTGACCTTGGTCGATTCACGTTTGAAGGTCACGTTGGGGTCCATGATTGTGATGAAGGGCGTTAGGAGGAATAATTTATATTATTTGATTGGGAGCACGGTATTTGATAGAGAGCCGACGACTTCTTTGGATTTGGCTAGATTGTGGCATTTGTTGAGGCTGTGTTATTTGATTGGTTATGTCGTGCATGGTTTGTTGAGGAGTACTTTGACCTGCAGATTGAAGTCATTTGAGCACATTGGTATGAGCAAGAAGATCGAGGTGGAGTTTGGCACTTCTATCCATCGATCGAGGGGTCTTTTAGGTGGTCTTCAGTCAGGCATTTGGGGGCCTTCCAAGAAGGCATCATTGGGAGGTAATCGGTATTTGGTTTCCGTAGTTGGGGATTGTTCTAGGCATTGGTGGATTGCAACTAGGTCCCATTGGTGTGAAGCCCTAGAAGTCAACAACAATTGGAAGAAGTGTATTGACAGAAAGGTAACTTGTCATTCTAGCTTTGGTAAGGGTTCTTTCTTGCATTTGTGCCGAGTTCATGGCAGTTTGAGACACTTCATTGATGTAGAGACATTAGAGCGACGAGATGAGATGACAGTTTTGATGGGTCGTTCCTTACTGGAGGGGGATCGGTGTTGGTTGTCGAGCATTGGTTTTGGTTTTGGAGCTTTGACATATTTGGATCATCTTGGTCATAGGTTATCGACTGCTGCGTGTGGAGATTTTGGATCTGATGGAGCTACTTTAGATTTTGGGTTACGTCAAATATTTGATTGCCCAACATTTGGTCACATCGAGGATGTGAGATTTGATCTGATTGCACGTTTGGGATTCAGAGATTCGTTTGATTATCAGTTAGGAGCTTCTGATTTTGTTCTGAGCAGGTATGTCACATTTGACTCTCGACAGGTGGAGAGTGTTGATCAGATCATTGGGATATCACAGCGGGTGGAGGGTGATGCTACTTCACATTGGATGGAGATTACTTCATATACTCCAGATCATATTGCATCGTTTGGGATTCTAGATGAGGTGACACAGTTTGGAGATCGTTTGGATTTGGATGCAGATGATGAGTTGGTTTTGGATTCGAGTGTAGTTGGTGGACATGTTTTGGATACGGCCATTAGTTCACCTCAGGTGGAGGTGTTTGATTTGATTCAGTTTGGGGCCATTAGGAGCGCTATCAGTTACAGATCTGTTGGTGATATTGGTGAATAGTTGCAAACGTTTCTATTTGATTGAGGGCTTTTGGAGGCCGTTTGGGTGAACTACGTGAATGCTTGATTCCTTGGGTAAGAGGATACGTAGGCAGTCATTTATGATGCAACCGGTTTGGTGAGTTGATACCGATATTTGGAGTTTGTTCGCATTCTCGTTTGGGTTCTCAATTTGTTGTGGATTGAGTTCGTTATCGTGGATTTGCTCCACTTCATACTGGACGCAACAAGTGAGACATTTTGTAGGTATTGGTGTAGGCTCAGTTTTGGGAAAACTTCGCCGAGGTGGAGAATTGTTGGATAGCAGGTTCCTAATATGTTTCCTAATTTGTTTTGGTAACAGGTTATTGGGATTCCTAATCTGTTTTGGTAACATGATTCCTAATTTGTTTTGGTAACATGTTATTAGGATTCCTAATCTGTTTTGTTTTTTGTTTTAGAATTCCTAGTATGTTTATGATTTTAGGATTTCTATATATATGGAACAATTGGAAGAGAGAATTGAGAAAAAAATTGGGGATATTTGGAGCACAGAAAAAGGTATTTTCTGAGCTATTGGTTAGAGTTTTGTTTGGAAAGAATTATAGATTTGTTGGTGAGATTAATTGGTGAGTTTGAGTGATTTGTAATCTCAGTTTGTACTCTTCTTCTCTATTAGTGAAAAACCATATCCCCTTCTTGCCCCGTGGAAGTAGGCAACTTGCCGAACCACATTGAAATTGGTTGTTTGTGTTTATGGTATTGATTTGGTTTGTTTGGCCTTCTCTCGACGTTCGTTTGATTTGATTTCTCGTAGCACGTTGGTTTGGTTGTTTGGCTTCCACAGCGCTCAACACAAATAACCATTACACACCATTAGGGGAAAGGAAATAAAAGTACAAGATTATGATCTGACATGCCCTGCTCAATAGCTAACAAAAATCTAAGTTATCTGAAACAAAATATCCAACACAAGAGGAAACACATTATTTATAACATTCACCAACACCTAGTGAAAATTACCCATCCCATCTGCACTATCATTGCTAGAGGATAAAATCTATGTGGTTCCCTTCTCTTGAATAATTTTCTTTAGCTTTTCAGCCTACTTCTTGTTCAAGTTTCCTGTCCAGAAAGTGATAAAGTGTATCACATTAGATTCCAACTTCCCAATCTCAGGTATCTCCCCATTAAAAATCGAATTACTGCATGCTCTCTAGATACACC